GGTTACTTAGCAGGAGGACAAAGAGTGAAGGAGGGAGACTGGGCATGTGGTAGATAGACTTCATATACCTATATGAAACAAAACTAAGAAACTTCTTGCAATTGCTTTAAGTGGGGTAAGGAGGAGCTCAGGGGGAGAGACGATGGGGCAATGTCAATAATGTACAATATAAGTCTAATTGGAATTGACACTGTGAATCCCTCCCATGTAATAAATATATCCTAATAAAAAATTTGAAAATAAATTTTTTAAAGATTTATACTAGAAATCTACTTAAATATATGTTTGCATAAATTTGCATATGTAAGAAATAACCATATAAAATATGGACTACATAAAATTTTGCACTTTAATGTCTTCTGAATTTTAAATCATGAAGACACCTGAAAATATCAACTTTATACGCAAAATGTTAATGGACTATAACAGCACAAGAAAATCAAACCAAATCATTAGAAGAAATATAGAAATTGCACATTCAAAAGAACTTGATGAGCTATACTACGTTTTCCAAGTAAGGGGACAAATGTCTGAAGTCATGTGTTTCAGTGCTGCTTAACTCCTATTCCCACAGGTTTCCACTGAGGATGTTTTCATGATAAACAACCTACATTCTAAATGACATCTTCTATTCTCCTTAAACAGTATCTTATAACTGACTTCCATAGATTTTTGCATAATCAGTCAAAATAGGGATTCATTCATTCACTAAATAGCAAGCCTCTGCAGGCACTGTTCTAAATGCTTGGATATGCAAATAAAAAAGAAAAAAATTAATTAATCTCTGCCCTCAGGAAGCTTACATTCTATTGGAAGCAAACACACAATAAATGATAGACATAATAATTAAGCAACATCTTAGAAAGTGCTAACTGCTCCTCAAAGGCAGAACAGACACTGATGGTAATACTAGACTCTAGTTTTAAATGATATGACACAGGACAGGACTCACTGAGAAAGTGAATCTGAGCAGACTGAAAGAGAGGAAAGAGTAACCATAGGGATATCTAGGTTCACAAAGCATTTCAGGCAAGGTGACTCTGTGTGTAAGTGTGTGTATGTGAGTGTGTGAGTGTGTTGATGCTGCAGATCAAGCCACTGAGAACCTCAAGCATGCTAGGCTCTACCACTGAGCTATATCCCCAAGCCAGGAAGAGTTATTTTGGTAATCTGTGTTTGTGAGCATCAAAGAAAACTCTTATTGTTTTAAACAATATCTCTAGCAATGTATCATGAATTTTCAGTTACTTTTGGGAAATTTTTCCAATTTAACAAGTGGGTACAAAATGTAAGAGGTCAAGAGCCCACAAGAAAGTAAGATGAAGAGATCTTAAAGATCACCATCAAATTATAATAAATCATAAAAATTATAGTAAGTTACAAATAAATAGGGAAATATCCATGTACAGTATCCTCAAATTATCTCAACACTCTGATGCTTCATGGGAACTACAGGAAACAGGAGAAATGCTGGCAAGGAAGAGAACAGTGTGGGGGAACACTTTTATGTGGGTCGGTGATATTCAGCTTTTGCTCAAACTTTTTGATACAGAGATGCAGAATAAGGGCACAAAATCCACCTCTACAGCGACATTAAAAATCCTCAAGATCAAGTAAAGTGCAATATCAAATCTATGGATGGGTCTTAACACAGCCTCAGGAAATGGGGGGGACAGAGAAACCAGTGCCAGTAATAAAACTGGAGCCGTAACTGTACCGTAATTCAGTGGGAGAGCATTTGCCTAGCATACACAAGGATCTAGGTGAGATCCCCAACACTCAAGAAATCATCTAGCTTAGATGGAAAATAGTCCAAAATCATTTTAAATCCAAAATCCAGACTACATTCTCAATTCATAAGTGTCTGAAATTCTTACCTTCAGATCCCGGTGAATTATCGGAGTCTTACACTGATGCAGCCGCGCAACAGCTTCACAGGTATCACAGAAGATCTGTAACACCTCTGCTTCTGTAAAGCCTGTCTGTAGCTTCTTATTCATCTGATTCACTACCTGCCCAGCTAAACAAAAGTTATTTTGAGAGGATTTATTTTTAATAAATGAATTCTACGACAAGCAAAATACTAAGAAATACCTTTATGGACTCAGGTAGTGGGAAACAGGCTTTTCCATAATTTCCACATAAGGATACTTACTATATCATATTGTATTGATTGAATGACACATTCTTTCTCACATTTTTTACCTCTGAGATCAGAATAACTTAAGATAGTTAATATCCTGTTAATTCTATTGGCCAGTTTTTAACATCTTACCATTCCTGAAATTGTACTTTTCCTTTTAGTTGATAGCATGTTTGATTTGAAACAACTGTCACTCAAAACTGCTTTTTGTTGGGTAAACAGTAGTGAACAAAAATAAAGTTTATATTATCATAGAAATTTGCAGTTTAAATAGAGATAATAACACAAATACCTAATTTTATATACATATG